GTCCTGGCCCTCCGACTCCATCCGGCAAATTCCCCGCCGCGCCGCGGCTGGTGGTGTTTTCGCGTGTCGCGGGAGATGGTGGGGGTGGGGTGGGGGTGGGGGTGGGTGGGGTGTTGTTACTTGGTGGTGGTCCTACCGCTGCCCGTGTGGTGTCACTCGGCGTGGGGCCGCCGCCCATCCCGGGTCCCGGCGCTGGTGGTGGGGACCGGGTCCACCCGCCCCCTCCTCGCCGCGCTGTAGATGGGCCCGTGCCCCGCGCATTTGATCCTGATCCTGGCGGATCCGGGGGCCCGGGAGCTGCTGCCCGTTGGGCCAGCCAGTCGGATCGGCCCCGGGCCCACCGCGCCCATTAAGTCCAAAGAAACCGCTGGCCCCACCGCCCACGGATGCGTGTGCGTGCGTGCGTACGAGTCAAATCCGAGCGAATAAAACGGGGTAATTAACGCGTGATTACGAGGTGGGCCCAGTTGGATTAGGGTTTAATGGGGGCTGATGGCCTTAAGATCCGCGTCCGTGCACGTGACTGACCGCTCCCGCGCCTTTCGAAACCGAAATGCAGCGCTCGCTGGAATGAAAAGGCACCTTTCGGGCGGGTGGGGTGGGGCAGACGGCGCGTGTGGCCCCCGCTGGCGGTGGGTGGGGGTGGGACTGGCAGCTGGCCTGGCGTTTGCCCCCAGCTGGACCGTGGCACGCCGATGGCGGGGACCACCTGCCCGTTACGGTGGAGATCTGGGCCCGCGTCTCCAGAGATACCACCGTGGAGCGGGGAGCGCCCGCGTGCGTGCGTCCACGCGCCTTTTCCTTCCGCTCGGCACTGGGCGATGGGGGAGTTTTTCTTTATTTTCTCAAAAATTATACGGGGCGAACATCAGTCAGTTGTTTGCCTTTTATTAAGGAAAAGCAAAGCTTTATAACTTAACGCAAGCTTAAGATGTATCAAGAAGGATTTCTGGCGTCGTTGCCGGGAGCGGGAGGTCTTCGCTCAAGTCAAGACATACCAAGTACCCATCACAAACTCATCTCCCTCGCATTACATTATTTGCCATTTGCCTCTCGTTTTCCTCTCCTCCACTTCACCCTTGCCGTTTTCTTCGCCCCTCTTTCATTTGATCTTTTGTTTGCTTGTGTCTCCATGTGCCTTCTATGTGCTTGCATCTTTGCTTGCTAAAAATCTATCGGTATGGATCCACTTAAAGTGTTCTACTTGGATTATCTTCGATCCTTATGCGCTCGTGCTGAAACCCCAACTAGCATAATTGATGGGAAATCTTCAGATGAGCATGCTCATTTTGTGCGTCACCATTTGTCTGAAAAAGAGAGACTCTTATGGGATCAAATAAACAGTTTGTTGTGCTATGCTAGGAATCTTTGTGAAATTTATTATTTTACTTGTTGTTCTAAGAACCCTAAAAAACACCTTCCCTACCTATGTGAGTTTAATGAAAATGAAATCTTATCTTCTTATGCAAAGGGTGTTTATAGTTACTATGATATCGAACAAATTGAAGAATTTGTTGCTTTTAAGGGTGCTTATGAAGTTGCTTCTTTGATTGAAAAGTATGATATTACTCTCTACAAATCTGAAAATTTTGACATACTTAAATATTGCTATGAAAATTATGCTCATAATGCCTATGTCAAAGAATTTATTGAAAGAATGACCGTTGCTTTGGAAGAAAAATAATGATATGCATGAATCTATAGATAATTATGATTCCGATGATTTGATTGAAATATCCCTTGATGAACATGATGCTTGCTATTCTTCTGGCCATTATGCCAATATTTATGAAGATGAATTTGCTATAGTTCCTTATGTTAAACATGAGATCGTTGCTATTGCCACATACTTGATAGTTCCTTCGATGAAAAGCATGATTGCAATGATGTTATTATAAATTCTCTTGATGTTAATTGTGCTAATAATATGCAAAACCTCAAGCTTGGGGATGCTAGTTTTGCTATGTCTACTACTTGGTGCAATGATCATGATTGGGGTGATTCTTTTTATGATCTTGAAAATTTATTTAAGCCCCATGATGAATATGAGATTGATAATAGTGTTTGCAATATTATTGGAAGTGGGTTTGGAAGAGTGTCAACTTTAGATCCCACATATTTTGAGAATGTTCAATCTTATGAAACTTTTGATAAAAGTGGGTTTGGAGAGGTCATGACTTTAGTTAATGTTAATCCCACTATTTTGGAAGAGTGTCAACTTCGCATGCATGTGGATCGTGTTGAAAATATTTTATGTGATAGCTATTTTGTTGAACTTGCTTATGATCCTACATGTAATTATTATGAGAGAGGACAATATGGTTGTAGAAATTTTCATGTTACTAAATTACCTCTCTTCATGTTGAGATTGCTATCATCTCTTTGTTCTTCCTTGCATATGCTAGTTCTTGCTTGCCTTGATAATTTGTTTTCTTACAAGATTCCTATGCATAGGAAGTATGTTAGACTTAAGTGTGTTTGTCACATGTTTTACGATGCTCTCTTTGTGTTTCAATTCTTGTCTTTCATGTGAGCATCATTAAAATCTCAATGCCTAGCTAAAAAGGCTTTATACAAAAGCGCTTGTTGGGAGGCAACCCAATTTTATTTTTCGTTCCTTGATTTTTGCTTCTGTTTAGTAATAAATATTTCATCTAGTTTCTGTTTAGATGTGTTTTCATGTTTTAATTAGTGTTTGTGCCAAGTAGAACCTATAAGATAACCTATGGTGATAGTTAATTTGATTCTGCTGAAAAACAGAAACTTTGCGTGCACGAAAATAATTTTAGTAATTCACAGAAACGTGATTTTCGTTGATTCTTTTTGTTGTAGATCAATAGACAAATTGCCCAGGACTTCTTATTTTGGTAGCAGTTTTAGAGTCCCAGAAGTATTCAAGAGTTACAGATTGCTACAGACTGTTCTGTTTTTGACAGATTCTGTTTTTCGTGTGTTGTTTGCTTATTTTGATGCATCTATGGCTAGTATGTAAGGGTATGAACCATAGAAAAGTTGGAATACAGTAGGTTTAACACCAATATAAATAAAGAATGAGTTCATTACAGTACCTTATGTGGTGGTTTTGCTTTCTTACACTAACGGAGCTTATGGGATTTCCTATTGAGTTTTGTGTTGTGAAGTTTTCAAGTTTTGGGTAAAGATTTGATGGATTATGGAATAAGGAGTGGCAAGAGCCTAAGCTTGGGGATGCCCAAGGCACCCCAAGATATTCAAGAATATCCAAAAGCCTAAGCTTGGGGATGCCCCCGGAAGGCATCCCCTCTTTCGTCTTCGTTTATCGGTAACTTTACTTGGAGCTATATTTTTATTTGCCACATGAGATGTGTTTTGCTTGGAGCGCAGTGTATGATATTATTATTTGCTTTTTAGTTTACCACAATCATCCTTGCTGTACACACCTTTTGGGAGAAGCCCACTTGATTAGAATTTATTAGAACACTCTTTGTGATTCACTTATATCTTTTGAGCTAGATAGTTTTTGCTCTAGTACTTCACTTATATCTTTTAGAGCACGACGGTGGCTTAATTTTGAAGAAATTGTTGATCTCTCATGCTTCACTTATATTATTTTTAGAGTCTTTTAGAACAGCATGGTATTTTCTATGGTTATAAAGTTGGTCCTAGAATGATGAGCATCTAAGTTGGGTATAATAAAAACTATCATAAAAAGAGCATTAAACACTAGGATCAATTTGATGCTTGATAGTCGTTTTGAGATATGAAGGTGATAATATTAGAGTCATGCTAGTTGGATAATTATGAAATTGAGAAATACTTGTGTTGAAGTTGGCAAGTCCTGTAGCATGCACGTATGGTAAAAGTTGTGTGACAAATTTGTTGCATGAGGCGCTCTTTTAATTGTCTTCCTTATGAGTGGAGGCCGGGATCGCGTGATGGTTAACGCCTACCAACCCTTCCCCTAGGAGCATGTGTAGTAGTACTTTGCTTCGAGGGAAAGTAAACTTTCGCAATAAGTATATGAGTTTTTTATGACTAATGTGAGTCCATGGATATACGCACACTCACCCTTCCACTTTGCTAGCCTTTATTATGCCACGCAACTTTCGCCGGTATCTTGCACCCATTATTTACCTTCCTCAAAACAGCCACCATACCTACCTATTATGGCATTTCCATAGTCATTCCGAGATAAATTGCCATACAACTTTCCACCGTTCCGTTTATTATGACACGTTCCATCATTGTCATATTGCTCTTTGCAAGATCATGTAGTTGACATTGTATTTGTGGCAAGGCCACCTTCATAATTTTTCATACATGTCACTCTTGATTCATTGCATATCCCAGTACACCGCCGGAGGCATTCATATAGAGTCATATTTTGCTCTAAGTGTTGAGTTGTAATTCTTGAGTTGTAAATCAATAAAAGTGTGATGATCTTCATTATTAGAGCATTGTCCCAAGTGAGGAAAGGATGATGAAGACTATGATTCCCCCACTAGTCGGGATGAGACTTCGGACTTTAAATAAAAAAAGGCCAAAGTGCCCACCAAATAAAAAAAAGAGTCCAAAGAGCCCACTAGATAAAAAAAGAAAAAAAAGAAACGAAAAAAATGAGAGAAAAAGAGAGAAGGGACAATGCTACTATCTCTTTTCCACACTTGTGCTTCAAAGTAGCACCATGATCTTCATGATAGAGAGTCTTCTATGTTGTCACTTTCATATACTAGTGCGAATTTTTCATTATAGAACTTTGCTTGTATATTCCAATGATGGGCTTCCTCAAAATGTCCTAGGTCTTCGTGAGCAAGTGAGTTGGATGCACACCCACTTAGTTTCTTTTGTTGAGCTTTCATACATTTATAGCTCTAGTGCATCCATTGCATGGCAATCCCTACTCACTCACATTGATATCTATTGATGGGCATCTCCATAGCCCGTTGATACGCCTAGTTGATGTGAGACTATCTTCTCCCTTTTTGTCTTCACAACCATCACCATATACCACATATAGTGCTATGTCCATGGCTTGCGCTCAT